CTGTCTGTCTGTCTGTCTGTCCGTCTGTCTCTCTGTCTATCTCTGTCATCCGTCTGTCTGTTATCTGTCTGTCTATCTCTCTCTGTATGTCTGCCTGTCCATCCATCCGTCTGTCTCTGTCTGTCTGTCTCTGTCCGCCCATATGTCTCTGTCTGTATGTCTATCTTTGTCGGCTGTCTGTCTGTCTGTCTGTCCGTCTGTCTCTCTGTCTATCTCTGTCATCCGTTATTGTCTGTTATCTGTCTGTCTGTCTCTCTCTGTATGTCTGTCTGTCTGTCTCTCTGTCTGTCTCTGTCCGCCCATATGTCTCTGTCTGTATGTCTATCTTTGTCGGCTGTCTGTCTGTCTGTCTGTCCGTCTGTCTCTCTGTCTATCTCTGTCATCCGTTATTGTCTGTTATCTGTCTGTCTGTCTCTCTCTGTATGTCTGTCTGTCTGTCTGTCTATCTCTGTCTGTTGTCCATCCGTCCGTCTGTCTCTGTCTGTATGTCTGTCTGTCTGACTCTCTGTCTGTATGTCTATCTTTGTCTGTCGTTCATCTGTCTGTCTCTCTGTCTGTCCGTCCATCCGTCCGTCTGTCTGTATGTCTGTCTGTCTGACTCTCTGTCTGTCTCTGTCCGCCCATATGTCTCTGGCTGTATGTCTATCTTTGTCTGTCGTTCATCTGTCTGTCTCTCTGTCTGTCTCTGTCCGCCCATATGTCTCTGTCTGTATGTCTATCTTTGTCGGCTGTCTCTCTGTCTATCTCTGTCATCCGTCTGTCTGTTATCAGTCTGTCTGTCTCTCTCTGTATGTCTGTCTGTCTATCTCTGTCTGTCGTCCATCTGTATGTCTCTCTGTCCGTCCGTCTGTCTGTGTCTTGGTTTATGTAACCAGCATTAAAGGTGTAATGTGTAATATTTTTGAGAATCTGTATACAGAAATGCAATGTAACATACAAAACTATGTTTTCAGTGGTGTATAAATACCTTACAAAATTCACCGTTATGTTTTAATTACCTTAGAATAAGCCATTTCTATCTACATACACCGCGGGTCCCCCTCCATGGTTAAGTTGCCATTTTGCGCCGCCATGTTTCTACAGTAGCCCTAAATGGACAAAC